GGGGGGGGGGGGGGGGGGATTTTTTCTCTTAGACTAGCCTCTTAAAATGAGTTGGGCAGAGCCAAGCTGTACATGGTAACTATGCAGACATGCCCTGGTGAGGGTTGCACACCTAGGGTCCCTCACAGCAGTGATGGTGATTGCGAGGGGGGACGAGATGGGCACCAGAAGCCCACAATCCTGAAGCTCAGAGCAGGCAATGTCGGGAAGCAGCAGGGAGGGTGCAGTAGCCAGTGCCTTGGAGCCTGGCATTTACTCAAAGCAGGAGAGGATGAGACTCTACAAAGCTCCTGGTGCTGAGGAAGGAAGGGCCTATCCCAGGGGCGGCCTCCCCTGCTGTCCCACTGCTCCCGCGGTGCACAGAGCTCTGTGATGGGCCAAGCAGAAGACCTGTCGGGACACAGATTCCCTCTGCTTGCCTGTGCTTTGCTTCCCCCCAGGGAGTGAAACTGGAGGAGGGAACCCATCCTTGGGGCCTGACCCCCTCTGCAGTAACCTGAGGCAGTGCACGAGGGCCTCAGTGGGACTCAGGACCCAGGCCTTGCCCTTTGTGCCTCCCCACTAAGGCACCCCCACGTACCCTCCCTCCCTAACACCTGCCACAGTTCCCTACCCAAGGAATGTGCCCAGAGCAGGGCCTCCCCAGTGCCTTCCCTTGCCCTCTGCCACTTGCTGGACTCCTCTTGATTTTTGCCTCCTTACTCTCTGTTTGTTCAATTTCCCCCCAAAGGAACCCATAAAATCGCGGGCCCCGCAGCTGCATCTGGAGTACCGGTTCTACAAGCAGCTCGGAAATGCAGGTAAGACACGGGCAGTGAGGGAGGCGTGTGCCGGGGCAGGGGCTGCTTGGCCTGGAAGCATGGGCCTAGGAGCGTGCAGGTAGCTCTTGGTTGCCAGCCCATCCCTGCATCTCTGCTCCGCGTGCCTGCCTAAGCTGCTGGTGCCCATCTGCTCAGCTGACGAAGGCAGATTTTCCACAAAGCTACTTCTAATCTTTGAGCCTTTATTTTCCAGCCCCTCCTCCACCCCTCTCTGACCTCCCCCCACCTCCCGTGCTGGTGTCCGGGATTCTGGCAGGTCACCTGCCATCCTCTCCCCCACATCTCTCCCCCAAGAGGCAGCATATCAAGCCCACCTTGTGATGGGGGTGAGTTGGCTCCTCCACCTACCCACCTCAGGGGTTGCTAAGCTGGGGCTACCCTGAGAGCCCCGTGCAGGAGAAGGTGGGGTGTCCTTATCCCCTCCTCTCAGGAGGAAGTTGGTGGCATCTGGGAGCCACCAGTGCAGGTTCTAGGGCCAGATGGGAACCTGTAGGCCTTGGCCTTGCTCTCTCTGGTTTCCTCCCATGCCAAGGCCTTGTTTCCTGCCTCCTTCCCCTGCTCTTGGGTGGAGTTTGAATGTCAGACCTCCCTGGAAGGGGTCACCTCTGCCCTGCACACTGGCTTGTACCCAAACCTGCCACCTCCTGGTCAGACAGCATCAGGGACCTGAAGGGGAGCCTCTTCCTCACATCTCCGTCTCCCAGGCCAGCAAAGGAACGGGGCTGGGGGGCTTTGCAGAGCAGTGTGTGGGCAGGGGCTCAGGGCTGGGATGGCCAGGGTGGTTCGGGTTGGAATTGAGGGGCCCCAGCATTGCCCACAAGCCCAGCAGCTAACTGCCGGCTGTTTCAGTCCATGGGGCCAGGCTTATTTTCGTTATGGCTTCACCTTGAATCTGGTGGCCAGGGAGGAAGCCCTGGTAATGCTGTGATGGCTGCAGGGCCTCCGGGGCACAGTGCCATGCATCCGCCCAGGCCATGGCCACCCGGTGATCCCAGATGACCCCAGTGAGCTCCCAGGCTGCCTTTGCCCCTCCTGCATGCCTAGGAGCAACTGGGCCCTCATCTTCAAAATGCTAGTGTGGGAGAGGAGAACTCCCCTATTAAAGCCCTGCCTTGGGAGGGAGGTGGGGTCTTTGCTGTTGCTTTGTTGACCCCTCAGCACTGACTGTGATATGCATTAGCAGCACATCCCCATCAGTGCCCTCCTTCCGGGTTCCTCCATCCCCCGTATTCGGGGCATTGTTAAAGCTGGGAGGGAAGGGGCCTCGTTCCCAATCTCACCCCCCACACACTCATGCTTTGGCTGTTGCAGAAGGAATTCCTCAGGTTTACTACTTCGGCCCCTGCGGGAAGTACAATGCCATGGTGCTTGAGCTCCTGGGCCCAAGCCTGGAAGACCTATTTGACCTGTGCGACCGGACCTTCACGCTCAAAACCGTCCTGATGATAGCGATCCAGTTGGTAAGCGCTGCCCTATGCCCCACTGCACCTTGGGCCTGGGCTTCCTGCGGGCTACAGCTGATGCCCTCTCCTAGAGTCCTAGTGGCCCTTACCTGAGGGAGGAAGGACTCTGTCAGCTGCCTCTCTCCTCCCCTTTGTCTCTGGGATGGCACGGTCTGCACTCTCAGGACTGCAAAATGGGCGCCTGGGATGAGGGGATACATCAGGGGATGTGAGAACATTTGTGGAGCCTGGGCTGATGGAGGAATTGGGCAGGGGCCTTCTCTCATAAGAACTCTTCTCCCTCTTCTTCTGGGTGTGCTCAGGGGGAGGTAGGTGGTGGTGTTCCTCTGCAGTGGATGGAGCCCTGGACTGAGACCCTGGAGTCTTGCCCTGCCTCTGCAGGAGCAGCGAGTCCCTGCTTTTTCCTTGCAGAAATGGAGATAGTGCTGCCAGGGCAACTGTGAATATTTGAACCCAGGAGCAAACAGGGTGCCCAGCACAGGGTCCCCACAATCTGCCTGTGTCGTCCTGCCTGTCAGAGCCTGTAGAGTGCCTGTGCTCATCCACTTTCCCCACTGCCTCTCACTCAGTCAGGGCCAGGCTCCTCTCCCGGCCACATGCCCTGTGGAAGGGCAGAGAAGCTAATGGCAGATGGGACCCACTTCCCTGGGATACCTGGCCTCTCCCATGGAGCTAAAGCCCATCAGAACTGGAGCTCCCAGCCTGCACCATCGCATGGAAAGGGGGTGCTGTCAAATTGGGAGCTGCAGTCTTGGGTTGCATTCAGCATTATTCTGGGTGCAGGGCTGGCTTCCTAGCCATGACCCTGGGGGAATTGGGCTCGATCCTGTGATCAACAAGTCTCCACATAAAATGATCCATTTCAGTTTTAAAATATGCCCAATGCAGGTTCTGTGGAAGGAGGAGGGGATGGGCAGGGCGGGCTTCAGGGGAGCAACAGTGGCATGTGAGCAGAATTGGGCCTGGCAGGTGCTGGGCAGACAGCTGCAGCGTGGGCTTGTCTGGTGCTGACGCCAGCTCTCCCCTGCCACCCAGATCACACGGATGGAGTACGTTCACACCAAAAGCCTCATCTACAGAGACGTCAAACCAGAGAACTTCCTGGTGGGGCGGCCAGGGAGCAAGCGTCAGCACACCATCCACATCATCGATTTTGGCCTGGCCAAAGAGTACATCGACCCTGAGACCAAAAAACACATCCCTTACCGTGAGCACAAGAGCCTGACAGGGACCGCACGATACATGAGCATCAACACACACCTCGGGAAAGGTACGGGGCACCACTCCCACAGAAAACCAGCTGAGCCAGCCTCACTGGGTCATGGCACACCATCTGCGGTGCTGAGGGATGGGGAGGAGAAGGGCTGAGACTGCAGGGAAGAGCAGCTCCGTGAGTCTGGGTGTTCCTAACTTGGTGGCGTGCCTGCTGGCACAGGGCATGGGACTCCTGGGTTTTCTTTCCAGTTTGCCCTGTAATCATGGGCAGTTTGCAGCCATGTGGGGTGGATATGATGCTGATTCTGCAGGAGTCCAAGCCGGGTGCATCGAGTCATTCTGTGCTTGGCTGGTGTATCTCATGCTCAGGCTCCCCACACGGTGTCTCAGACTGTACAAGCCAGCTGCTACCAGCATGACCAGCCAGTTGCAGGAGCAGGGGACTCCACCCATGTACACTGCACATCCCTGGCCATGCTCCAGGCCTCCTTGATGTGTGCAGCTTCCCAGGCTGTGAGAGTCTTGCTGAGAGTCAGGCCTGTCAGACTGTAGAGCAAGGCTCTGTCTGCCACTCAGGGAGTGAGCAGCGCCCCGGGTCAAAGGCCAGACCCTGGCTGATAGGGTGCTGCTCAGTGCTGCAAGCTCCCCGGGGGAAGCCCTGCAGATGAAGAGAAATCACTCCAGAGCAAGAAACCTCCTCCTTGCTTCCCCTGGGAACACTACTGCCATCTCCTGCCCGTGTCCCTGTGCCCCCACACTGCTGGGAGAGGAGGGTGTTGTAGTCCACAGAGTGGCTCCCCTTGCTGGTAATCCTTGGAGCTTCTCCCGGCTTTATCTTCATGTGGGGCTTTTTGCCAACTTCCCCAGCTGCTGGGAGGGGGGAACTGGGCCCAGTGAGGCAAGATGAAGGGATGCCGCTCTGTGGGTGGCTGTACTGATGCTCTCTTCCCTGTGCAGAACAAAGCCGCAGGGATGATCTGGAAGCACTAGGGCACATGTTTATGTACTTCCTCCGAGGGAGCCTCCCTTGGCAAGGGCTCAAGGTAACTGCCACCTCGCAGCCGGGAATCTGCCACTTGCCCAGCAGGGTGTAGGCAATCCCAGAGGGCTGCAGCACCAAAGCCACTCTCTCTCCGGGTTGGAGCCAATGGGCCAGCTGGCACCAGGGTAGGGAACATCTATAGAAACCAGGCTCAGCAGGATCTGGCCTGCACATAAAAGGGAGCTGAGACAGGCAGACTCTCAGGCACAGGGCTGGAGTCCTTCAGCCAGGGGTGTGTCACCATTAGCACCTTTGAGGGCTGTTTAACTTCCCATTGGGGTAGATGCCTGTTGGAGCATGAAATGCAGGGAGCCCGACCCCCAGCTCTGGCTAGTGGGTTGTAGCCTATGTCCTCCATCCATGGAAACAGCAGAGCTTGAAGGGCAGCTTGGGGGTCTGGGAGCTCTGTGTCCCAGTCCCAGCCCTCGCTCCCACCCCAGGCTGGTCACTTCCCCTCAGCATGGCCTTGATTTCCTTCTCCATGAAATAGCTGCAGGGAAAGGGACCTGCTGAAAGTGGTGCTTTGGGGCTGAGCAGTGTCGAGGGGTTTGGGGAAAGGATGAGTCGTTCTGTCCTTTTACCAAGTGTTTCTGTGAAGGTTCTTGCTTTGGCCACCGTCTACTACAGGATGCCACGGTTGTGGCCCACTGATGTGTCCCTTCCTGGCACCTGGTGGCTGGGTGTGGGACTGCTGTTCTGTCAGGTTTCTGACAAGTCTACGGGAATAACCAGCCGCAGCCATTCCCCTTCTTGCTGTCAGCCCTGGGCTGGGTTGCCAGCACTGCTGATGAGCTCAGGATGGGTGGGTGTCCCCATGCTGGTCTCTGCCAGGCCTTCACTGGTCAGAGGGTTTCTGCTGCTCTGCACCAGGGGCTCCTGCCCTCTTCATGCAGGCTCTGGGGGGTGAAGTCCCTATGAATGACTGCTGAAACCTAGCCCAGATGCCCACTGCATGCTAGGTGATTCAAGGCATTAGCTAGGGGCCCGTTGAGCTTGGGGTGGGGTTTGAGAAGCCAGGCCCGGGTCCCTGAGTGCATCCCCCAAGCCAGACCATGGTTGGCACTTGTCTGTCATGTTGCCCAGGGCTGAACCACTCTCTGCCCATCCAGGCTGACACGTTAAAGGAACGGTATCAGAAAATCGGAGATACCAAAAGAGCCACACCTGTCGAAGTCCTGTGTGAAAACTTCCCAGGTAAGGATACTGCCAGAGCAGGCTAGCACTCATGTCCAGGTTTCTCCTGTCGCCTCCAGCCCCTTTCATGTTCTGCTCACACACAGGGGGATTTGTTCCAGAGGTGCAAGCTACACTCATGCCAGGTCTGTGCCCTGGACTCCAGCGGCCTTAAATGCTCTGTGCTGCCCTGGCCTGACTGCCTTCTAAACCAGAAGCAGTCTGGCTGGTGCCTTAATCAAGCTAATTAGCATGGGAGCTGGCTAACTGGCACCTCCCTCAGCAGTGCTAATGAGTGGGTTCGTACATGGCTACTCTGTGTCCAGCTTAGGAAGCAGCTGTATGCAGCCTGGTCTGCTTGAGGACACCTCTCTAGAGTTACTGATGCCTGGAGCACTAGGGAAATCGCATAGGGAAATCTCCATTTCTTGATTGTCTCAGGAGGGCTTTGTCAGGCCCTCGCATCACTCCTACTGGGAGAGCAGCCACTCAGGGAGCAAACTCCCGCATATCGTTGTGTATTTTTCACCAGGATTTGGCCCAGTGCAAGAACAATGGCACTGCAGCCAGTGTTCCTGCCTGGTCACCATCTCTGTGCTTTGTCTGTGGCCCTGCCCTGTGTGTGACAATTTCCACCTGCTTGGAAATGGGCATTGCAGGGGGATAGGGTGCTGTGTGTGGGAGTGAAGGACTCTCCAGGCTATGGAGGAGCATGTCCTGGCTGTACCTGATACAGGCAGCAAGTGGAGCCCCCCAAGAGGTTAGAGTAGATGAGCTGGGCAAGGCCATCCAGCAAGGCAGGTGCAGAGCTGAAGATAAAGGCAAGGAGGGATCAGGCTCATCGCCTTGCTGCAGGGCATTGGTACTGTCCTCCAGCCCCCAAGGCTCTGCCCTGAGCTGCCCCAGCTGGAGCAGCCCAGACAGCCTTCCTGGAGGGAAACCACCTATGCACACCCCAGGGTCTGGGCCCTGGGGAAGCTGACAGCCCACGGTGTAAACCTGGAGACAGCTTTCATTTTACGCCTGGGCTCCACTACAGCCCAGTGCCTTCCAGTGTCATGCATTATAGCTTTCCTCCCCCCTCCACCATGTGCCTCCCTTCCAGCTTCCACTGCTCTTCCAGGCTCCCAGAGAGTCTCTGCTGTCCTAGCAGGGTTGGCAGAAGGGGGATAATGCTACAGGGCCAGCCGGTCGCCATGGTGTGAGCCCTGCCTGGGGTGTGTCTGCCCTTGCCTGGCAGTCTGCTCCCCTGACCCTGGTGTGGATCTGGGTACTGCCAACACTGAGCCTGCCCTGTCTCTGCAGAGGAGATGGCCACCTACTTGCGATATGTACGGCGGCTGGATTTCTTTGAGAAGCCCGACTACGATTACCTGCGGAAGCTCTTCACGGACCTCTTTGACCGCAATGGCTACGTCTTCGATTATGAATACGACTGGGCTGGGAAGCCACTAGTAAGTGCATCCAACTGGAGAGGAAGGAGCATTGAGCTGGCTGATGCTAGCAGGGACACACCCTCACCCTGCCCAGCCCCATGCCTGAGCCCCTCCAGGGCTGAAGGAGCTGTGAGGCTGCCCAGGGCTCGAGGGTGGGGAGCAATGGATAGAGCATCTGGGAAGCCAGGGCACGCTAAGGTTTTGGTGGCTGAGAAGCTCAGAGCTCAGTGGTGGAGCTCTGAGCTTTTTAGTTCCCCTCTGCTTCCTGAGTCATGGAGTAGTCATGCCTGCTAAACATCCTCTGTCTTGACTATTCAAACCCCTCTGAGTTAGTCATATGGGCCCCAGAGTCTGTGTCCTTTTTAGGTCTCTGTCGTCCTGCCTCAGGTTCTGGATATGCCCTGCTGTGTGCCAGGCAGGCGTCTTCCCAATGTCCATGGGAGGGAGAGCCCACCCCAGAGGCCTTGGCACAGGTGAGAATGTAGCCAGGACCCTGTGTCCCTGTGCCTAATAGGGGAAGCCATTCTACGCCCATGCGTTTTCAGGGCCCACCCTGCCCATCCCACACTTCCCCATCTGACTCGGGCAGCGGGAGGCTTTCTACAGCTTGGGTCACACAGGGACTTAGGGGCGACTCCTTATTTTTTCCCCTCCTTATGTCTTACTCTGCAGCCAACTCCCATTGGCACAATCCACAGTGACGTCCAGGTGCAGCCCCCGAACAGAGACAAAGCACAGCCACACACCAAGCACCAGGTGAGCTCGGTGCAGCCCCACCATGACCATGCTGGGGCCCATTCCCCAAATGGCTCGGCAGCCGTCAATGGCACTGGGAACTGGGCTGGAAGGCAAAGCCTGCCTGTCCATTTGGGAGACTGGGGCATAGGGGTGCTGTCCATACATCATTGCCCTCCACTGTGGGGATTGGATGGGAGGCTTAGGAATGCAAGGCCTCTCCTTTGGCTGGTCCAGAAGAGACATCAGCCTGAGGGAGGGCTGCTGCCACACAGGGTGGAGAGAAACGGCAGCTTTCCTCAATGTGAGGTGGCAGCAGGCGCCTGGTGCAGGCTGTGCGTCTGGTGAGAGATGGGGAGAGGAGTTGCTTTTCCTCGTAGGACGTTCTGGTACCTCCCCACCTTCCCAGGGAGGGCCTAGGCTCTCCAAGGCTTGTGCCATGGGCAGAGAAGGCCAAACTGGTGCTTGCTTCCGTTCAGCAGTGGGCAGGATTAGATGCTTTTGGGAGTGGGGCACATTGGAGGTATGGGTGAGTGGGTCTAAACACGTCATGAGTTCCTGACTGGCGGAGGGGCCTGGACGGTGCCTCGGCAAGCCCCGGGCAGAGGCCCAGTCGGCAGCCTGGCCCCTTGGATTCAGTACGGGCTGCAGTGCCTGGCTTGCTGGTCAGATTCCAGGCCACTCTCAGAGAGCGGCTGCTGGTATGTGGCGGGCACCCATCCCAGTGGCTGTATCGCTGGGGTCCTGCCAGCCTCTTCAGCAAAGGCTGGGAGGTTCTGCCTGTACTGGTGAGAAAAGACAGGCTTGCACGGATTGCCCCTGTTAGTTGTAACCAGTTGTCATGGCCTACGGGCATGTCAGGGTTAGGTCTGCGGCAAAGTCTGGGGAGGGGGGCAGTGAGCTGAGTGGTGCACTGGGGCTGTGTCCCAGACCAGTGGTTCTCAACCTTTTTTATACCAGGAGTCATTTGTAAACATCGGTGGCCAGTCCCGACCCAGTCCCCCTCACTCCTGACCTGCTGCCCCCAGGCCTCAGCCCCCCAGTGTGTGGGGCAGGGGTGAGTGTGTGGAGGCATGGCAGGCTGGATCTCTGCCAGCCTGCAAGGGAAAAGCCACAGTTTCCCACATTTTTCTCCTTTAAAGGAGAATCCATTTTTTAACCCTTTCATATATGCTTGCAACTCACTTTTGGGACCTGCCCCTGGTGGGGGATGAGGGAAGCTGCAGTGTGCTGGGATTGTTAGGGTGCCTTGCCGTGCTTGCTGCTCTGCTGAGCACGGTTTTCTTGGTCCACTTGGCTGACTGTTGGGTGTAACAAGGTGACTGTGCTGAGATGATCGGTCGTGTTGGGTCACATGCACTTGCCTCTGGTGGGGGTCCCATCATTTCCCTAGGGGAAGCACCAGCACTGTGATATGGGCAGCCAGACAGGATTGCAGCCACTTCTTTAGCTGCATGGCAAGGAGAGGGGCTGTAGCCATGGGGGCGAAGATGGCTCGGGCCTATGCAGTTGTGCTGGCTGAGCCATAATCCAGGCTTGGCAATGTCTGGCTCTGTGGAGTGCAGGCCGGTGCTTGGCAGTGCAGCTGCCTCACCCAGGAGCAGGAGTGCAGCTCTTGGAGGCAGTGAGGACCTGTCCCAGGTAGGGAGGATGGGAAGTTTCTAGCAAGGCAGAGGTGGAGTCATGTGGTCCTGGCTTCCCTGTGCACTGACACCAGAGGCAGGGCAGCAAGCAGACCTCTGGCAGTCCCTTACTGTCTGTCTGTACCCTGCCGAAGGCGCTGCTTTGTGGGGTTGCTGCACGCTGACAACTTTGGGTTTTGAAAACTGGTCTCCCCAGAGCCTGTGGGGACTAGCAGGCTCGTTACAAGGCTCCCCCTTCATGGAGCAACTGCTGGGCAGGACATTGTATCTGTCATGACTTCAAGCCAGAAAGCCTCTGGAAGCAGGCTGCTTGGGAAGACAAACTGGCTCCTGGGGAACCCCAGGCCACTGATACCTCCACATGGTCCAGGCCCTTCCCGCCCCCCCACAGGCAACTGGGACCAGCTCTACTGAGCTGGACACTGAGCTCAGCTTCACAGCAGCAACTGTGAAACCAAAGCAGCAACAAGGCCAAGCCATGGCTGGCAGATAACCCCTGGCATTGTTCTAGGCGTGACACCCCAAGCCTGTCCTATGGAGAGGGGCTGTGACCACCAGGATCTCTTCCCCTCCTGGGGCCCTACCAGAGCTGGGGGAAAGGCCTTGCTAACACCCCTATCAGGAGGCTGCCTGCAACACCAGAAAGCCCCTAGAGCAGCGATCCCCCGCCCAAGGCTTGTGCGGACAGAGATGGCAGACTTGGCTTTCCAGAGAGGATGTTTCTGCCAGCTGGGAGAGTCGGGCACCATGGCCCCTTGCACATTACACACTCCGCATTGCTGCCTGTGGGCCAGCGGAAGTCGGAGCCTGCTGCCCTGGAGGGGCCATGTCCTGGGCCATCAGTTGTCTGCTCAGATCTAGATTCATCAGGTGCATCTGAAAGAGAGAAGGACCCACAGAGGCAGGGGAACAGCCTCACTTCAATCCCTCCTTACTACCTCCAAAGTGAAGTGTCAGGCAGCATCCTCCCCCTGGCTCTGCCAGCGTGCAGCCCCTTTGCCCACAGGAGCTGTATCTGCTGTATCTGGACTTCTTCCACAGAGCCCAAGGGGCCTCTCTGGGTTATGGGGCCTGCATGTGCAGAGGGAAAGCCAGGGTGTTCCCAGTTCAACAGCCACTGGCCAAGCAGCATTTAGCCCCAGCCCATCCCAGTCTGGCTGGGAAGCCTGCAGGGCCCACACTGCCTCCCATGCCTTGTGGAGATGACGCTAGGGCTGCTCTGTTTATATTTTTGCTTTTGCATGTCTTTATTTTCTTGAATTCCTCCTCCATCTCTCCCCCGTCCTTGCCTTCTTGACCCGGTCCCTCCCACCACTGCTCCGTTCTCCTCCTTCTTCTTCTTCTTCTTTTGTTTCTCCTGCCTGTCACTAGCAGTCGCCTGAGGGGGACGAGGTGTGGGATCCTCAGGGCGGTCGGCAGCCTGCCGAGGAACCTCTAGGAACTCACCTAGCAACCAGCAGGCTTGGGGGTTCTGTGCAGGTACATGACCACGGGCCGAGTGGGGCTGGGGGGGCGCCGGGGGGCAGAGGCACCCACCTGAGCCGTGATGCTCCTCTGGGCTCAGTCCTGCCCCAGCTCCCAAAGGACTTCAGTGGTCCCACTTTGGAATGGGGGACCTCCAGTGGCATAACGGCCCATCAGCAAGCATCCCCCTGGCCCACCAGCCGTGCACCCTGACCCACATCCCTAGTCAGCGACAAGGCTTGGTCCAGCGCTCAGTGCTGAACTCCAGACCTAGCGTGAGAGGCCTCTGTGCAGGGTCAGGCTCGTGGGCAGAATCACACGGAGGTGGCAAGCAGAGCTCAATGTCAGCTCTCATACCCTTGTTTTAATCAGCACTGCTCGTTTGATCAGCCTCAAACCGTCTGCCATTCTTGAGCTGAGGCACAGCAGGGGGATCAGCTCTCACCTGGATCACGAAGTTCTCCCAAGAGACAGGGTTGCCCGTCCGGCTTCGTGGTGGGAAAGGGGAGCCAGCCTGGCTGGTGGTGTCCCCATTTGGATGGGGAGCACAGGGCTTGGCCCAGGATCAGGCAGGGTGCGGCAGGGTGCTGGCCATGTCCACCCTGCATCTGATTAAACTAGTGCCTAGACCTGCTTGTGCTGGCAGTGCAACACATGCGTGCCTTTGGCTGGCTGTGCCGTTCAGGCCAAGGCTTGGTGCGAGGCCCTTGAGAGCTGCATCCTCCTCCCCAGGATCAGGGCTTTGCCTCTGACTTCATTTCCCTTCCTGCTATTGATTAGACCAGTCCCTGCCCCCAGAAACTGCCCTCGCTGGGTCTCCTGCCCCTTTGGAGGGTGACTTATCTTCACAGTGCTCCTAGCCAGCAATGCTCACCCCCCCAGCAAGGGCAGAAATCACGGGTCTAAATGGCATCCAGGCTTCACACTAGGCCTCGGTGAATTCTGTCCTCGCTGCCCATCGTTCCCTTCCTAGCGTCCCATCACTGGGCCATTCTGCCTCAGCTCTGAAAGGCTAAATTTCCCCCCTCTGGTCCCATGGGCAGAGCTCGGAGTCGGGGGGATTCTGCCTGGCTCCCTTCATCAGGGAGACGAGAGGTCATGGGCTGTCCCCGCTCACTCTGGCCACATGGCTCCCCTTCCTGTGACAATGGATGGTCCCTGCTCTGTGTTGTAAAAAGTGCCCCCCAATCCCTCCATTTTCCCAGGATGCACTGAGGGGGGATGGAGGTGCAAGTGCTCTAGCTAGTTTCCAGGCTTGTTTTCGCTGCAGAGTCCCAGTTTGCAGGGGTTGGGGCTCTCACCTTGCATCTGCGGGGCCAGGAGCCACCACTTGCCCAACTCATCAGGCACTGCTGGGCAGCTCACGTGGCACATGGCAATCTGAGCCGGCAGGGCTAGCGGATGGTAGATGACTCTGCAGGAAAGACAGCCTCCATTGCTGCTGCGTGTGCGTTTGTGTGTGTGTGAGCCCACCCGGAACAATTTCCCCTGCCTTGCTGACAGGCTGATCCTGGGGAAGGAACAGCACCCTGGGACTTTGAATACTAACTTGGCTATGTTTGGTCTGGGCTTTAACCAGGGCGCAGCCAGCATTGTCCTGGAGAATGGGGTGGAGAGAGTCCTGCCTAGTGGCACTGCAGCAGCTGAACTGGCCTTGTCCCCTCATCACTTCAGTTCATTAATCCTGGCCCACTCAGAAACTGCAGGAGCTGGAGTGACTTAGCTGTGGTGGAAGCACCCCCAAACCCCAGCCCAGGGCAGGGCAGCAGCTGCAAGCTCCATTTCTGTAGCCCCATTCCCAGGCTGCATGAAGGGGCTCTTGTCCTGGCATCCTGCAGCCCTGGTATCTGTGGCTGGTCCCCTCAAAAGGCAACATCTAAGCAAAGGCACTTGCTTTGCTGCAAGGCTGGGAATGTGGGGGGAGCACAGCACCTTCTGGCAGCCAAGGGATGGGAATGGCCCTGCCCCTCCCCTGCTGACATCCTACTTGGTACCAGAAACGGGCTCCGACCGCACTGCATGGCAGCCTGGGCCTTGCGCTCTGGGCACTGCCGCTCCTCAGGAGGCAATGCACTTTGGCTCCAAGCATTCCCGCTTTGCCTTCTGCAGGCCTGCCAGGGCTCCCAGGGCCAGGCCAGTGCCTGAAGCTGTCTGCTTCTCCCAGGATGTAGTCTCAGCCCCGCAACGCTTGCTGTTGCTTGGTGTCCTTAGAAGCGCTTGATGGAGCTAGTGTCAAAGTGTGCCAGAGCTGTGCAGAGGGAGCCCTTCTTCTGAGGGGTTAGCGGCTCTGGGCTTCAAAACCCTTGAGCCCAGTGCAAGTTATGCTGTGCAAGTAGCGCCTGAGTCCAGCTTGCTCAGTGTCGGCACCAGATGCTGGCTTTGGGGTCTGAGGTTGGGAGGCAGCATCTCCCCGTGCGGCCCTCGCTGGCTGGTTTGCAGGGTGCCAGGGCATGATACGTCGGGGCTGCAGCTCCGGGGCACCTGCCCACGTGGGGACGCTTGGCTCACTTCTGGTAGGCACAGCAGTTCTTCAGCTGCCTTTTTGTCCCCAGCTTTGCTCTCAGCTGCGTGTAGGCACTGACTCTCCCCACTCCTTTCCAGGTGATGAGCTCCACTAACGGGGAGCTGAACACAGATGACCCGACCGCAGGACATTCAAACGCCCCCATCACGGCGCCTGCCGAGGTGGAGGTAGCAGACGACACAAAGTGAGTCTTTCTTCCCCGTCTCCCCTGGCTTGCGGGCAGTTCCTCAGGGTGGTTTGCTTCTTCCCCTGCAGCTGGTGCTCACATCCTCCCCCCAAGGCAGAAAAGGGCCTGGGCTGGGTTATAATGGCCTGTGGATCCATCTAGCTCCCTGGCTGCGCTGCCTGGGATCACCACACAGGGGATCCCAAGAACCAGAGTTGGGCTGTAAGGAGCTTACAGGGGACTGGGCACAGACAGATCCGCTGCTCCATTCTAGTTCACCCACAAATGATTGTGCTGTCTGCATTACCAAGGCCTCATCGTGGCCCACTCCACCTTGCTAGGCATGGTCCAAGGATCTCCTCTACGCAGTGGCCTGGACCATTCAGTCACCAAAGGGATTGTTGCCTGGTGACACCAGGGCTCAGGCTGAGGAAAGTCAGGTTCCCAGGGGTCTTGACCTTGTTAGTGCCTCCCCGGACCTCTCCCAGGGCTGGTCCTCTCAGGGCAAGAAGCAGGGACTAGGGAACTAGAGCATGGGCTGAGAGCAAGGGTCACTGCTGGCAGGAAGCTTTGAGCTCATGAGTGCTGCTGGGGCTCTCTCTCCCAGCGGCTGCTTTGGCAGTGCCAGCTCCAGCCGCCTCACAGGCAGGTTTGAGGACCCCCCCACCCAGGGCCACAGTGGCTGTGGGGCAGTCTGCCGCCTGTGAGGGCCTTGCCCTGAGCTCTGCTCAGTAGAGCCCAGCAAGTGGCTGGCTCAGATGGAGACACAGTCAGATGGATTGCAGGTTGGCTGAGGGGTCGCACTCAGGGTGGTGGTGGATGGGTCATACTCGACCTGGGGGGAGGTGGGTAGCGGAGTCCCCCAGGGCTTGGTCCTGGGGCCTGCGCTCTTCAATTTCTTCATCAGCGATCTGGATGATGGGGTGGAAAGTAACCTGTTTAAATTCGCTGATGACACCAAAATTTGGGGGGAGGTGAGCACGCTAGCAGGGAGGGAGAGATTGCAGAGGGATCTGGATAGGTTACAGGGGTGGGCTAACAGGAACAGGATGCGTTTCAATACGGACAAGTGCAGGGTGCTGCACTTGGGCAGTAGGAACCAGCAGCACACTTACACAATGGGGAACTCCCTACTTGAGAGCACGGAGGCAGAAAGAGATCTTGGAGTCATTATTGACTCCAAGATGAACATGGGCCGACAATGCGAGGTCATGGTTGGCAGGGCTAACCGGACCTTGTCGTGCATCCACAGGTGCATCTCGAGTAGAGCCAAGGAGGTGATCCTCCCCCTCTACGCGACGCTGGTCAGGCCACAGCTGGAGTATTGTGTCCAGTTCTGTGCGCCCCATTTCAAGAGGGATGTGGACAACATGGAGAGGGTCCAGAGGAGGGCCACCCGCATGATCCGGGGACAACAGGGCAGACCCTACAGTGAGAGACTGCGGGACCTGAACCTATTCAGCCTCCACAAGAGAAGGCTGAGGGGGGACCTGGTGACTGTCTATAGACTCACTAGGGGGGACCAGAAGGGTTTGGGGGAGACGCTGTTTCCCCTAGCGCCCGCTGGCATAACAAGGAGTAATGGGCACAAGCTGATGGAGAGGAGGTATAGATTGGACATCCGCAAAAACTACTTCACGGTTAGGGCGGCTAGGAGCTGGAACCAACTTCCAAGGGAAGTGGTGCTGGCCCCTACCCTGGGGGTCTTTAAGAAGAGGCTGGATGCCTACCTGGCTGGACTCATTTGAGTCCCGTTTCTTGTTTTGGGGTCTTGTTGTTCTCCCGCCCTGGCGGGGGGTCGGGCTAGAAGATCTACTAGGTCCCTTCCGACCCTAAATCTATGAAACTATGAAGTGCCCTGAACCGCGAGCTTCAGCAGCCCCTCCTGACGCCATGCTAGCTCGGGGATTCCCGGCAGATGTAGGATTGTCCAGCTTCACTGGGAAAGGTGGTCCGGGAGAAGGAAGCTGCAGTGGGCAGCAAGGCTGGGGCGTTACAGGTTTGCACCTGCCTTTTGCAGATGCTGCTGTTTCTTCAAGAGAAGGAAGAGGAAAACCATCCAGCGCCACAAGTGATCTGCCCGGGCCAGCACAGATCAGCGCGTGCAGCGTCTCCTCCAGCTCTGGCCATGGATGGATCTGGGTTCTGATCCGCTCTGCAAACAGCCTTTTCCCACCTCGATGCCGACGGGAGAGGGGGAAGGGCCGTCGTGACTTCACCGCCCGGCGCCACGCACGGGAGCAGGGAGGGGGCTGTTCCCAAACTGCTTTTCTTTTCCTCCTTGGCTGCCGTCTCAGCACGGGGCCGGCGGCTGGAGCCCAGTCGGACGTTGCCGAAGCCCCCGCGTCTGTCAGGCGCACAGCCCATGGAGAGCATGAAACAATCGGAATAGGACGCCCAAGCCCGGCACATGCCCGTGCCGCCACCGTCTTTGGATTCAATGAACTAGTTGGAAAACGGGGATCAACTTCACAGACTCTGCAGTGGTGCCGTCTTAGAAGAAGCTGAAGACAATTGCCGGAGCGGTGGGTCACAGAGGAATCCTTTCTGTTGCTTCTTTGTCTCTTAAGTTAATTTAAAGTGAGTCTCGGTGCGGAGTGCTGAGTCCGTCTGACCTTTTAGCGTGACGAGATCCTGCTCTTTCTTTTTTGGAGTCTCCCAGCGTCTCCGCCCTCCCTAAACCCTCCCCTCCCCCCAAGCCCCCTTCCTGCTGGTGGCAAGCAAGCGGGAGCCAGGTCTGGTACAGGGAGGCAGAGGGGAGACTCGTTTACACATCCGTTTTATGATGCACTTTGCTAGCAATACAGGCAACGTTCAGGCTTGATGTTAACAGGTTAGTGACGAAGAGGGGGGCGGCGGGGG